ATGACCCTTAATATGAATTATGAATAGTGACCCTCATCTCACGTTATGAATAGCGGTCCTTATGATTAACGAACCTTATTTCTTTATGAATAGTGACCCTCTTTTGCCATTATGAATAGCGGACCAGGAAGTACGGGAATTTACACGTTATGAATAACGGTCCTTATGAATAGCGGACCTTATGAATAGCGGTCCTTATGAATAGCGAATAGACCCCGTTTAAGGTGGGGAAACTCATACGGGAATTTAATCTTTTAATAATAATCTTAATTTTTAAGTGGATGCCTCCGCCCCTTTAGAAAATATTGAGTGGTCTCTTCCTAATCTGAAAAAAATCAATTGTCAATCAAAAGTGAAAATGACGATACTTGTGGTGAAAAATTTAATAAGATCCCTTTTTAACTAAGTAAAATAATATTAAATATGACTTGGTATAACATAATAATTTTCAATTAACACAAGATTTAACTTTATATCAACATTTAAAAAAAATTGCAATATGAACAACAAGAACAAATTTCAAAGGGAGAGTAAATTATCAATCTTATACATTTGCCGACATTATCAAACATTTTTTTCTGACGGAAATTTGAATAAGTAGATATAACATCCCAACATCCCGCTTTAGCAACACCCATACTCGTCCCTCCGGCTCCCCCTGAATAGCCTACAAAGGCCCAATAACTGATTGTAGATTTTGAAGATATTTGACAATAATTGTGACCCTTTTCCAAAAGGTTCTGACTAAACCACTCGGATCTTTGTATCCGAAGGGCGCCGTTCAAGGGGTCTGGTATTCGTTTTGGAATTGAGGGCGGCTAGCAAAGCCACCCCCTCCCACCTCCTCTATTCTATACCGATTGTAATGCTAATAACCTTCGAGCATGCAAGAAAAATATGCTGAGGGTTTTTTTTTCTCCCCTTCCCTCCCTTCCCTTCCTCATTTGTATTTTTCTGTGAAGGCCCCACCTCCGCCTCCCTAAAGACCCTACCTCGGCAAACACTTTAAGAACAAATTAGTCATTGTCCCCTTTTTGTAAAAAATTCTTGATATACCACAGAATGATCGAATCCCAGATCTTATAGAATTTGCCAGAGTTGATGTATCAAACTGAATCAAATGGCCCATCTCGGAGTCATGCATCGTAGAGGGCAGTGTGTACTTTTTATGGACTCGTAGTGATTGAAAACAAGGGGACTTATATTTTTTCCTGAAGAAAACATCGTCATGTCAGAAAATGTGATAGGATTATAATAATCATAATTATCATCCTACTCTTGATCACAATCATTACCATGATCATAATCATCAACATCATATTCACCATGATTCTATCATGCACCACAGTCCATGCACCACCACCTTTTTCTCCTCCTACTCTTTATTTCCTTCTTCTTCCACTTCTTCTTTTTCTCCTTCTTCATTTTCATCGCCATCATCATGATGAACCTTACTCATCTTAACGAGCGTCCCCTCAATCGTCATCATGCACCTTAGGTATCGTAACAAGCTTCATCACAATCATCATCATATCCTCCTCCTCCTCCTCCTCCTCCTCCTCCTCCTCCTCCTTCTTCTTCTTCTTCTTCTTCTTCTTCTTCATCCTCATCATCATCAACCATCTGCACACAATCAGCATTAATATCATACTTTTCACAAGCATCAACATGCCTATTTCTGTTACCATCATCAGTATTGTTTAATGAAATGAAATAATACGAATAAAAGAAAGAAATAAAAAATTCATAACTGAGTCATAGCTGTTGTTCAAATGCGTCTATTTCTTCTTCAAATCATCGATAACAAGGTCCATGACTTCATTCCGCATTAATAACAGCAAAATCAGAAATGAAAATATATCATTTTAAAACGACACCCATATCAACTTTGAAATGTTGTTAGCGACCATGTGTAAAAAAGAGAATAAATATTTGAAGATCATGAAAAACAGAAGAACACATTATGGCAAGATCAAGTTATTCGGTCATAAGTTGACCTGGTGGGTCGTAAGGTTGTCCATAACATATTTTAAAAATAGATAACTATAAGTAAACAAATTGTGTCTGATCATACATGACACAACCAGGAACTCGGCTGTATAATGTTACATGTTTCAAGTTTTCTCAAAGATATATGTCTTTACAAATTGGGTGTATGTAATAGCAGTATTACAACTGACCAGGGGGGCGTTTCACAAAGATCCTAAGTCAAACTTAACTTTAAGTGGGACTTAAATATTATGGAGAGCCATTTGTAGCCTTTAACTCAGATATATTCAAAAGCGAAAATTCAAGTATTTAAGATTTTTTATGAATTCCACATCAAGAAAATGAAATCCCTGTTGGTAATAGAACATATTAATGATTTGAATCAACATTTTATGCCTTTTCAAATAACTTTTACAAAATATTTTCATAGATGCCAATGGCTTTCCATAATTGTTAAGTCCAACTTGGAGATAAGTTCAACTTAGGATATTTGTGAAACACCCCCAGAGGGGCACAACACATATTATTCCACACAATTCATTCTATGTTCTTGTATCAAGTAATATTTTTTTTCTTTCTTCAAATCAATTTTTTGTTAGGTGGGCCTCAAACCATTTCTAACAGCCGTAGTGGACATTGATTCTTTTTTTAAATAAATAATTACCCAAGTGGGCCTAGAGTTAAAAGAGGTTGAGAAGTGCTGGTCTAAAATAAGTAACTGCAGTTATTACTTCTCTAAATTATTTCTACATCCTTTCATACAAAACAAAACAAAACAGCCGGCTGCCTGTAAGAAAGCAGTAACTGCCATTTAATACATGGCTCTGACAGCTATGTTTTAGCACCCTCCTGCAGAGCACATAACAAAATGATGAAACACTTTCAAGAATCAACTCTGGAGTTTTATCATCGCAAAAATGTTTAAACGGAATTAGCTTAAAGATAAAGTTGAGTTCTGGTCATGCGATTGCATTGTGAAAGAAACGGTGAGGAATCAATCAGAAAGGTTGATCATCTAGCATATCAGTATTGGTGTGTACTGCAAGGTTCTGGAATCATCAAAATGATAACAAATTTGGCCCAGTCTTGGTAAAATTACTTACAAGCACTGTACACAGAAAAATGTATATGGGACTACATGAACATGTGGCGTAAAAGTCTGTCCCAATGTTTATGCTGTTACATGAAATATTTAGAATATTAAGGCATTTGAAGAGCCATGCTTTTCAGGCAACATTTGTTATCTGATGTTCTTCCAGACTTGCATAATAACAATGATAACGCTCACAAATTATTGTTCACCTCTTCTCAGAACTTAACCTTCTCTTTAAGATTGCATGTTGAGTACTTGTTCCTGCTTCCTATATATTAGGAAATCACCTATTAAATAGTACTGAAAGTCCATTTCCCCTTCCAAGGGAGAAATCTTCTAACCATGGCACACTAGGGGAAGGTAAAGATTTCACCAAAATATAATAAATAAAAAGTAAAAAATAAACATTGCTTGCAATGATAAAAACTAACAACATTTCTATGATGTCAGATAGAAAATTTCTGGCACGTCGATTACAAATTCAACAGTTCTGGTTGAGGCAAAAAGGCACCATATACGTACAGAGCTTTTAGGCATTACACCTTTTTAGGTCTGTAGTAACACAATGATAGGCTTTTTTTATAGCAAGTTTAACTTTTTTTTCTTTCTTCACATACACACGACTCCAAACAAATTCATTTAGTTGGCAAGAATTCATAAGCATTTCTTATTTTGTATACATTTGTAACTTTGAATATTTTTCTAAATCTATTTAAATATAACATCTATAAAGAGAACAGACTTGTTCTTTAGAGGAGAATGCCTTGCAGTAAAATGATAATCATACCACATGATTTCTTCTCTTTTTTCCTTTAGCTAGCAGATATTTCTTTGTGTTATATATATTCAATTAAAAAACAAAAGAATAGAATCAGAGAATGAAGACTCCACTTAATCTGTTTGCTTTCTCTCCTAAACATTAATCAAAGTAGCACCTTAATACATAGAATACTTGTGTGAAATTATTGAATACTTTGGTATCACTGTGGCAAGAAAGTAAGGCATTACTTATGAGGGGATATCGGTGGAGGCCCTAGAGGGTCTTGTTTCTTTTAGCTGGCTGCTAAAGCATGTGTATGCTTTTACATAAGCAACCAGGGAACCAGGGTGCTTACCGACACTTTTAAGTCCCATTTAACGGACTTTGCAATGAGGATTAATGCCTTACCAAAGGGCACTAGTGCATCAACTTGGTTTCAAACCATGGACCTCCCGGTTAGGAGACCACTGCTCTACCACTGAGCCATCGCGTCTTTATTCTCACGTGGCAGGTCCTGGGTTCGATCGCTGCTTGGTGCTTAGGTCCTCAGGCAAGGTATTTACCAACATTTCTCCTACTCGATCCAGGGCCACATAACACAAACATAAGTTAGCAATTGAAAATATTGTTATCTTCTTAATTCAGAATTTGTCACTGAATACTTGGGGTCAACAAATCTCCTAATAATATGGGCTTGGCTAATTATAATTCATTTACATTTTTCTAATCCTCTATTGGAAGTATTTCACACTTGTTTTGGGACTGCCTTTTTTACGCAACATTATTCAAGACTTCCAAAGCTCTCCTCCGAACAATGAGGTGCATTTGAAATAAAAATCCTTTTTGCTTGGTTATTGATGCATGTACAATTATTGCAAGGTGTAACTATGTTAGCTTTTACCACTATGTCATATTTGTTTGATGTACCGGTAATCAAGTTTTTTTTGTTGATCAAATTAATTCTTCCATCAAAAGAAAAAGAAAAAAGTTTGCTATTTTGCAATTAACAATGTACAATAAATGATCAATCTATCAGTTGTATGCTCAATTGCTAACCTCTGTGTTATGGGCCCCTGGTACCTGTTTCACAAACCCTTTTTTCAATGACAAATGACAAAAATCAGTGACAAATCTGATAACCAATCAGAGGCAAGGATTTCAGTAGCTTATAACAGAAACTGTCATTTGTCACTGATGACAAGTTTTGTGAAATGGGGCCCTGGTGTATTGAATGGGTACCAAGCAATTGTTGGTTTAATAATAATTACAAGACCCTCAGAAAGAGCAATGATGTGTTAATACTGATGAAGCTACTCTGGGTAAATTATGCAACCGATTTGTTATTATCAGGTTCTTTAACTCATGGAATACCGCATTGTCTCATAGTCATATGCTTTAGTACGGGAGCCACATAGTTCCGGCAGGGAATAGTTTAATAGTGCATCATGTTTGGGAAGTGGGTGAGGGGTTGAGGCGTGGCTTGACCCTGCCCGACACCGATCAGAGGAGGTGGGATGGTGACATTATGGGGCGTCGGCTGACCGTGAGACGTAATGGGCGATCGACTGGCCGCCTCCCCTGCCAAGGCGGACAGGTGGTGGTAACTCCCCCCTCCCCCGATTGCACCGATGTTCGGATGCACATAATGCATGGTCATGTTGGCTGCCATTGCTGCGACGGATCGCTGGAAGAGTGGGGCGGAGCTGGTGGTGGGAGGGGTGCTTGGTTGGGGCGTGGGCGCCGTGGCCAGGTGGATGGAGTACGGGCTGGGGTGCGAGATGAGGGCTTGGTGGTTGGGCTGGTGGGCCTGAGGGGGGCGCATGTTACGGGCGTCGGCCAGGGCTTCCATCATGGCTGCCACGGAGGATGTCGTCTTATCGAGGATGGAAATGGAGAGGCGTTCTGCATCGTGGCCAGTGTCCGAGACGGAGCTGATGATGTTGACCTCCTCGGGGAGGATTGGATGACCTTGGTGCACATCAGAAGGAGGAACTGAGAAGAGAAATAAAGAGAAGCATGCTTAAAGGCATCGTTTAACAATGTTAAATCTGAGATGCATGGTCCTACGTGTTATCAGTGTCTGTGATATGGTGTAATATTGAAGCCCTACAAAAAAATTGCGCTTCAAAATGATCATGAAGTGCCTCAAAAAATGAAAAATCTTTTAAGTGACTGGTTTTACCATACTCATTTTCCCCAATAGACTGTAGTGCTATAAAAACCGTTACGAAAACACAAATTTGGTTTTGATTTCCAAGCATAAATATCTTGATAATCAGACAGGCGATCAGCTTGTAAAAGTCATGGGATTCCTTACTGACCTAAAGGTTTATAATTATCATTGCAGCATGAGCTAAATCCAGGACTTTGTTTCAGAATCTGAGACAAAGTTACTGGATCCCTTTACACAGCTGACCCCCATCTGGTCCAATGGCGATTGTTACAATAAGCAATAACTGAATTTAATTAAGTTTTAATACATGCTGCCCGTCCACTATCTCTATGGTCTGATGATTAGTATGTCGATAATAGGGCTTTCTTTCATTCATATATATACATATATTGTTCATGTTTTACGGATGCTCTGAGGAGGTTCAACGATCTGCTTTCAAAAAGAATCACAAACTATGGTATCACAGATTTTCTGTATTCCAAAAGATGCCTAATTACTGCATATTGCAAAACTCATCAAAATATTACCTCTACATCTGAACTATTATGGTCCATAAAGTGAATTCAGATGGCCTGAATAAACAATTATTATTGATTTGAGAATACATGCAGATCATGCTGATAAGTAAACATCCCAGGGATAACACCATAACAGCTGCAGTAATGATAAACTTAAAGTGAAAACCACTTTTGGAAATGCCCCCCTCTCAAAAAATGAAGTGGAAGTTCTTATTACCAATCATGCGATAGAATATGTTTCGACTAATATGTAATACAAATTTTGCCGGGAAACTGCCTACTAATTGATATATTTGGTATATTATCATATTCATCCGGCCTGGATAGATATCGCATAGTCCCATATACATCTTCCTGTGTACAGTGCTTGTAAATTTACGAAAACTGGGCCAAATTTCTTATCATTTTGATGATTCCAGAACCTTGCAGTACACACTAATACTTCTATGCTAGATGATCAACCTTTTCTGATCGATTCCACAACGTTTCTTCCTCAATGCAATCGCATGACCATAACTGGTCTACACCTTTAAAACTCAAAGAACAGTATTCACCTTGCATCAGTTGCTCCTGCTTAAATTCTTGAGTACTGCACATGGCTGCCATATTGAACATGGCCGCTGCCGCCTGGCCCCCTGCTGCAAGGTTCACCTGGGATGCCATCTGGCCAAACTCCACTGCATTCACGATGTCCTCCACCACGCTCTTCTCCGCTCGCTGCTTCTGCTCGTCGCTCATCCCCATGGGGTTCTCCTCCGCCTTGTTCTGGGCCCTGTTTGGGCGGGGCCTGCGGGTCCGGGAGCTGAGCCGTGGGATGCCTGGACCATGGTGGCGCTTTCTATGTTTGTAGAGGTTGCTGTTGGTGGAAGTCTCATAGTCGCACAGATTGCATTTCTTTGGTTTTTCTCCTGTCAGTGGAAAAGATCGTGTATATAATTGCAAAATGGCAATGAATTTTTTTATATTGTTTGTTTATTTGGTTTGATTTGATTTGATTGAAGTTCGGTAAAGTGTGTCATCCAGGGAAGAAGAAAAAACCTTGGTCAGTCCAAAATTGACCATAGAGAAACAGTCACAAGAGCGTAAATTGTTGAATTGAAATTTTTCATTCAGTGTTTGTTGTTGTTGTTCTTCTTCCTCCATTGCAGTACATCCCTGTTATAGAGTATTGTCGTAATCAACTTACAGCCTATAATAATATGAATCAACTTTTTGGTATTTAGCATGTTACTCACAGACCTATCTACATATATACATGAGTAAAGATGAGCAAACTACAATTGGGTTTTGAAAGTTTAACATCATATTCTATACTGGAACATTTTTGCCTGAATTGATACCTCAATATGAACTTTCCATTAAAGAAAAAAAGAGAACAGTTTGTTATTGACTCTTTTAAATTTTGTCACCGAAGTAGTCTTGATAATATGTAAAAATGATATAGTCCGGCACCTTGCTCCCTTAATATGAGCATAATGAGCACCTCACTCCTTTAAGCATGAGCTTATTCGAGCATCTCAATTTATACACATGAAGTTAGTTGGGCACCTCATTGTTTAAATATCGTAACTTTAAAAGTCATTAAGGGGCTGCAACCCCCAGGCTCCAACCTTGTATGCCTATACATGTATTTGTAATTAGTATAATCATCATTTTAGTGTTACCTGTATGTTGTCTCATATGATCCATGAGGTAGGTGTTTAGTCTGGTCTCAAAGCCACAGACGTGACACCTGTAAGGTTTGATCTCAGGGTGTGTCTTCAAGTGTGCCTTGAAGCGGTACTGGAACATGAACACTGCAGGACAGATCGGACAAGCGAAAGGAGTCGGCCGCTGGGTGTGCTTCTTCATCACATGGTTCTTACACTCCGTCTTGGAGAAGAAGCAATGGCCGCAGTGCTGACAGAGGACAGTCTTCTGCTTCAGGTGCTTCCGCTTCTTGTGGTTCAGGAGAGTGTTGCGACGGCGACACTTGTAGTCGCAGGCATCGCAGGGGAACATCTTGTCGCTGTGGACCTTGCGGTGCATCCGCAAGTTGATCGGACGCTTGAAGGCCATACCGCAGTCTTCGCAGAGGTAGTCACGGTCTTCCTTGTGGATGGGCAAGTGGCAGTTCAGGCTGTTCGCGTCGCGGAAGGCCAGAGGACACTGATCGCACTTATAGGGACGCTCCTCCGAATGGCATCGGAGGTGGCGGCGGAAGTGAGAGTAGCGTCCAACGACGACCTTCCCACACACGCCACAGGTGAACTCACCAGACATCTTTTCAAAGTGGTGGGTGCTCTTCATGTGGCTGTTCAGGAGATGGCTCGAATGGCAGCTGAAGTTACAGATGCTACAGCGATAGACACGGCTGGTGTCAACTTCCTTCTTCACTGATTTGGCTTTGGGCTCTGTGGCTTTCTGTGTGAGGAGTTGTACCGTGTCACCATGCAAGCCGTGGATGTGGGCGGCAAGAGTCTTCCGACCCTGGCAAGAGTAGCTGCAATAGTTACATTGGAATTGCTTTGAGCTCTGCAAGCTATCCCTATGCTCCTCTGCTCGGTGGCGCTCCATGTCTGCGGGACAGTCTGCAGTAAACTTGTGACAGATACTGCACACATCATCATCATCACTATCCTCCTCCCTTCCGCTATCAATCACTTCCCCTTCACTAGAGCTCACATCTCCTGCATCAGGTTCCCAATCATCATCAACATTCTCTTCATCATCATTTTCTTGTAGTTCTTCCGATTCATCCTCTGCAGGCTTTTTATCCCTGGTGGGTCTTTTATTACATCTAGAAGTACTTTTCTTATTGTCATTTACTCTTTTCAAGAGTTTCCTTGGTTTGTGTTGGCTATCCTCTTGTTCTGTATCACAGGAATCCAAAACATTTCCTCTTGAAGTTCTTTTGGAGCCCTGTTTACTCTGGGAGATTTTTGATTTGTTAATTTCAAAGTGCACTTTCCCAACCCTTGCATCCTTCCTCCCGCTCTTGGTGTGGGCCAGTTTGGTGTGAGCTGTCAAATCTTTCTTGAGCATACATGAGAAGAGACACTCTGGGCATCTGTACCTCATCTTCTTCCCATCACCCTTCCCAGGCCTCGCACCGGGTCTAAAACCTTTTTGTCCATGACGTTTAGAGGGTGGGAGCGTCCTCTCCTGTTCTACGATCAGTTTCGTCGGACAGACCGGCTTTCGTCCTCTACGCCTCCCAGAGCTTGCATCCCGAGCAGCGGTTCCTCCATCCTCAAGCACAGGCTTTGATCTCTGTCCACGAGTTCTTGATGCTGTTGTTCCTCCGCTACCCTTGTCCATAGTTGCCGAGGCATTGTCAGATGCTGAGGAGTTATGATCTTTGGCTTGTCTAGCAACAACCTTACTGTGACTGTGAGAGGGTCTATGTTTTGATGAAGATGATGGTGTCTCGTCATCTGCTGAGGGAGTTTTACTGAACGCTGAACGATGGATGACAAACTTAAAACTTGGTCTGGTGGCTTTCTTACCCCTCAACATTTGTGTCCGTCCCAAATTCTGTGAACAGCTTGCACTTCCAGAACTTCTAGATTGAGGTGAATCTGTCCTAGCTTGTTCTGATGTGATTGGATGAATGCCACAACTAATCTCACTGTTTTCTTTCCTTTGATTAGGATCAACTCTCGTGTTACTATCATGACCTACTCCCCTGGAGTTACCAGAAGAATCTACAGAATAAGGTTCAGTTTCTCCACCATTATTCATACTTCCACTGCCATCATCTCCCAGATGAGACCTAGAGGTAGCTTCATCATGACTGGGAATGCCTATCCCACTCCTGATGCCACCATCTGCGCTTTCTGCTATCGCTGCGGACATCATGGTCTGTACTTCTTGACCGCATCCAGCTCGAAACTGACCATCGTGGACGACCCCTCCTCCGACGACACTGAAGTCAATTCCAGCAGCGTATATCCCGAGGAGGTCCTCAGCAGCCAAAGCACTAGCCCTTGGCGTCACCATCCGCTCCTTTTTCCTGTCCTGGTGTTCAACTCCAGAGGGATGACCATCACCATCTGTCCTTCCGACCTCTTCTACAGGGCTCTGGTTTGAAGTGGTGCCGGGATCTTGAAGATGGTGGTGGTTGGAGTTGTCGGGTGAGGAGAGAAGGAGTCGAGAGGCATCGTTTAGGGCGGAGTCAACTAGTGCTTGAAGGGCATGGTCATCACTTGGAGCATGGTTGCTAATACCTACATAAAGAAAGGAACAGAAATAGGAATATATTTTTTACTGAAATTATGATTCCTATGTATTCAGCTGACGATATTTCTTGTATGAAATATTGTTTAAAAAACAACAAAGGTTTCTCTTTCACATAAAATACAGGAGGATTGAACAGAGATTATTTTTCATTTTGAAAAACAAAACAGCTTCAAAAGGAATAAAGTATGTTGACTCCATTGTCAGAACACTTTTTACTGATTTTATCTACCGGTATCTATTCTATTGGTGATTTTGTGTTAAGTTTCTCATTTGTGAAGGGTGGTTACTGTTAACACTTTAACTGCCTATATATGAACCCAATTAACTTTTGCCAACTGAACACACACAAAGCTATAGCTATCTCTTCTATTGGTTGCTGTTCTTGTTATTCAGACAGGCAGATCTGAGCATGGTTTGTTCCTATGTCATTCCCCCAACAGGTTTACCCATTAACGTTCACCAACTGAACACACACAAATATTTACCTATCTCTTCTATTGGTTGCTGTTCTTGTTGTTCAGACAGGTAGATCTGAGCATGGCGTAACATATCTCACCCCCCTTACAGTTTAACCCCATTAACTTTTGCCAGGTGAACACACACATATTTTTACCTATCTCTTCTATTGGATGCTGGTCTTGGTGTTCAGCCGAGTGCGTCTGAGCATGGTCTCTCATGGCAGACATGCTCTTGGTGCGGAAGTCACAGCGGTCACATGACAGGCTGAAGGGTAGTACGTCCATGTTGCCCTCCATGTCTGCCCTATGCTGGTGAAGATCTATGGGCAATGAAACAGTTACAGGTCCAAAGACGTTATCTTGTTCATATACATATGCATGAAATTTATGAATTTAATTTTTGCTTTCGGGAAAAAAATTCTTGAATATCTGTGCTCATCTGACATCGTATTTGAAAATCTTATGACCAGTTTATAAGTTTGTAACCACATTTGGAAATCTGAGGATTTTCTCTTATAACTTTTGGTTGAATTTTGATTGAGCTTTTCAGCAAGTGTGGCCTGACACCACACTCTCCTTTTAAACTAGAAATATCCCTGTAAAATGATGATAAACAATCTGAGGTTTAATCATCATAAGTGCATTTTACTTTTCCTTGAAGGTGAAGAGGCACTTTTGCTCGCTCTCTTAGACCTACAATTATCTGTTTCCATGTGCTACAATACATGATTTATAAAATAATACTGAAATTGTTATTTAAATAATTAATGATCAAACAAGAATGACATAGAACTTTAAAGCCCCCAAAATATATCTGTATATAGCAGCAAGATGAGTTTATGAAAGTATGTGCAAAGTTTTAGAATCTGCGGTTATATCTTCAAGTGGAATTCTAATCCGTCAATTTGTACACAACAAATGGGGTGAATGAAACACTGCCAGTTACAAAAATTCAAATTAGAAAAGAAAAATGACCATAATTTTACCAACATATATTTAGTAAAGTCTTCAATTATGATTTATGACAACATTTTGGCCTTTTTGAAATTTTGATATTTTCACCATGCAAATCAATGCAACGCCCTTAAAATCAGTTATAAATGATTATATGTTATGTGGGAAATAGGGTAGGAATAGTTTAATAGAAGTTAAAAGGATAGTTAAGTTCTGTTTTCAGACCGCAAATGCCTTCAAAGAGCATGGTTATTGCTCTTATTCTTATCTATGACATTTCTAGTGCCCTTTTAGAACCTAAAATTGCTATGAACGGTTAATTTTATACTCCATAATGTGTGAATTTAGCCAATACAATCCTACCAATACAGCTCCACTTTAAAAAAAAAACGGTGACCGTTAATTAATTTTAAAATTAAAAATAACAATACATGGTCTGGCTGGTTGTGCGTAATATAAGCAACACGAAAATGCCAACAAAAGAGCTAACATCGGTATTGGCTGAAATACGACGTAAAGGCCGTTATTTTGTTTTTTCAACGGTTTTTTTCAAATTTTTTCAAAATATCTAATATTTGTGGTGGTACAAAATCGTTATATTTATGGATATTTCAGCCGTCTCGGAACCGATTTTGATCAAACAAAGATGATTTTGTCATTTAAATATTATGTTCTTTCATATTTGACACTCAGTTTTTCATTATATCACAAAAAATTATTTTGTGTAGCGCCCTCTGCAACAGAACTCAACTTTCCCTTTAACTCCAGCCCTATCACAATGAACACTTTATCAGTTACTCTTGCAGCAAAACACTCATTTTGCCAATAATTGATGCATGAATACAATTTGGAGTGTTTCATGTAGTATACCGGTACTTTTATTATCCTTAAAACTCATGCAGGGCCCATAATTCCCGAGATGGGGAGGAGATCAAAGGGGGCACAAGCCCCCCCCCCCCCCCCCCCCCCCCGCCCTCCCACCAGCAAAGCCTAATCTGGCATACCTTCACTAAATATGAAGTACCAAAAGAAGAAATGTGCCCCTTATCGCCCCTCACACACAGATGTATTTTAATTAAAAAGTCAATCACCCCCAAAATGCCATTTGAAGATAATTCATTAAAAAAATACATTTATACATTTTTATTCTTTGCTTATCAGATAATTTTATATCTAGTAGAAATACACCTAAAAGTGTTGACATTTTCTCAGATTTTGTACACATGTACAGCCCCCTCCCACCCTCACTCCCGGCTCCCCCACCAGTCAGACTCAGAGAACCCCCTGGATCAACCACTGAATTGGTCTGGGGCCTGAGGGGAATAAAACATTGCATTGGATGATTGCATGAGGAAATACACAAGTGCCATAATAATTAAATTCCGAAAACACAAGAAAAGATGAAACTGGTTCATAAACAGAGCGATCGAGTTTCACCGTATCTTGCACACAAATAACACACGCGAGAAACCAACGAGTATTTTCAATATGCCACTACCAGGCATCGCAGTTCCTATTTACACCCACACAAAGGGAACAATTGCCACACACGGCCTATGTAAAAACAATGCGTGTTAACCGTACACTGAGAATACAAGGCGGAACTTCGACAACGTCTCAAGATCATAAAACGAGATAAATCATTCAAAATCATCAACACTATCAAGACATTTTGAATTCAAATAAAGGAGTGTAATTTCTAGAATATGCTCCGGTAATGCCGTTTAGATTAACTCACCAGAAAGTGGAAATTATCGGCAAGAATCGGGTATGGCGATCGTCGGAAAATTCATGTCTTGGTAAAACGGGGTTGGAGAACGCGTACAAAATTGTGAATTGCATGGGCCATAGTGGGCGCTAGATCGTAGCGGTTTTGAAGGATAATGGAACAAAAAGAAAGTTTGGCTCAATGAAAGAGAGACGGTAGTGCAATGTTTTGTTTTCCGCGTCCATTTCTTGAATTGATACTAGGTCTTCAAATTTAGTATTTTGTTGTCAAAGGTACGCTCGAATCGGCTTGATAGCCCTATGTACACCTAAACATAGGCCTACACCCAGATGTTGTGTGTCCGTACAGGTTTACAGGCAATATTTCATAAATCCTATGCTCGACTAAATTATAAAGAACAAAATATGTATGATGCAAAGACGTTCTACTTGATGAAAAGGCAAAAGACTCCCACTTTTTGCCCATTATAATAATGATGTACTAGCAAATGGATGAGTGAAACATTGGAAAATTATAAACCCAGAATTCTAAAACGGCTTATATGCCGGGCTTTTTTTTATACCAACGCGTCTTTCTCTTTTTAATACCATATTCGCATTCTTCTTTTTTCCTTTTCTCCATTTTCTTCTCCTTTTTGTAATTCTCCTATTGACATCTTTCCCGTTTTCTCGAATGCAACATAATTCTCTAAAACAAAAAAGTTCCTTTCAAAAATAGCTAACGTACGCCAATCACAGGACCTTTTTCAAAGTTATGTAGTGTTGATATTTATGTAGTTTACTTGTATTTGTTTATATCTAATTTATCAATTTTATTTTATACAAAGAAAAAGCGTTTTCTGAATTTCTGCTTTCTTGAGTGGTTTTTGATTTTTACCAGTTTATATTTTTCCTAATGGATATCATGATCGTCACAGCAGAGAACACGATATCACCATATATATTATTTGATTGTAGCACATTATTATTCATGTATTTATGTGTCAGACTTGACAATTTCATTGACTTTGTGTATTTTATTTCTACCATTGTTATCTAACGTGTGAGTCAAAATAAAGTTTACACCTAGAAAATTGCTAATTAAAAAAAAAAAAAACCATCTATGAACAGTATAAATTATTATACATATTATGAAAGAGTGTTTTATCCCAAATCATTTGGTATCAATTTTGTGTGGTATGTGTTCACGTCTGGATAAACAGGAGGCATTGTTCGCGAGAGTGCAAAAGCCGACTTGCGCCAAAGTTATGCCTACAGAATGTATTATGTTGGGATTAGCGGAGTGAGAAAATGAATTGAATGTATCAAATGAAATGCATTGCATATGCGATTTGCAAAAGCAAAGTCACACACACACACACTCACGCGCGCAAATGTTCGTTGATATTTAATATTCGATATTTGATACGTGTGGCATGATTAATTTTGTTAGGAATGTTATTTGGATCTGCCTAGACCGAATTAATACCAACATTCCAATCGTTTTATTCAAAATTCACATAAGCAATTTTGGCGCAAGTCGATTTTTACACTCTCGCAAACAATGCCTCCTGTTCATCCAAGCGTGAGCACAAACCACACAAAGTGATACTAAATGATTCGGGATAATACACTCTTTCATAAGATGTATAATAATTTACTGCTCATAGATGATTTTTTAAATAAGCAATTTTCTAGGTGTAAACTTTTTTTGGACTCACACTGTATTTGTTTAGATGTTTATTTTTAATTTAAAATCCAACTTCAAGTTTTGATTTCAGTAAATAATTAGTAGATAATGACGAATTATGATAATAGTTTAATCCCCCCTTCCTCCTGCAGGCAGTGGCGGAGCCAGGGCGCCGGGCCCCGGGCCCCCTCCCCGGGGAAAAACAGGTAAAAATACGTTATTTTTTTGGAAATGGGCCCACTCTGGCGCTCAAGGGGGGGAACGATTTTTCAAATTTTCGAGGGTAAGAAAAAAAAAAAGTTATGGCTCACTACCCCCCCCCCCCCCCGGCTGGTTGTTGTTGTTTCGCCGCTAAATACGTTCTCACGAATTGGGCCCCCTCTTTGGCCCCCTCCTCTGCCGCCGGCTGGATCCGCCCCTGCTTGCAGGTACGAATCAGGATGAATTAATTCTCTAACCATCGGAATTACCCATAACAATCGCAACATGATCCTTCCACGTAATATTCCCACCATGCATTGCGGTTTTGTTTACAAAAAGCGGAAATGCGCGCTTGAATACGCGCTAATTTCTACTTGACGCGTTCATACCACTGATTTCCGTAGAGATCAGTGGTTCATACGCGCAACCTATCGCTTAGGCCTATTGTGACGTCATTAAGCATTTAAGATTTTCCCACCATGCATTGCGCTTTTGTTTACAAAAAGCGGAAATCCGCTTTGAATACGCGCTTGATCGATTACTCGACGCGTTACTCGACGCGCACCCTGGCTCTCATGCCTATTATGACGCCATCCAACAATTAAGATACGGCCTTTATGACGTCACAATCAGTAATTTGGCGATACTGGTGTACCAGCTGCTGAAAACATGTAGAAAGGTCAAGGGTTCCCCCTCTCCATGCTTTGGCAACATGAGTTCAGGAATATTGACGACGTCATACGCCTTGGACAGTTGTATGTGTGCGTGTAAGACGGTGGCGGTTGGGGTGGGGCCATTTTAATTACCCAAAGTTAATTCTTTAATAAATATTTCAGGGACATTATGGCCTTCCAAGACTCACGCGGAGGAGCACGGCGAGGTGAGGGTGGGGGGGGGGGGGGGCACACATGTGTGAAAAAATGGGCTTAGCGCCTGTTAGTAAAACAAATCTTCATTTTTTGCTTACTTCAAATAGTAGCGGGGGGGGGGGGGGTAGACAATCTTTTTCTCAATCATAATCTTAGGAGTGAGGTGAACCAGGGATAAAAGTGAAAAAAGCTGTCTAACAATGAAAATGAATAGATTTCCATGCATTTTCCTGAACATGAGTGTTGTGTATCAATGAAAATTTTAGTGTTATAATTATAAGTGATCGAGCGTAGCAAGCGAGTGTGAGAAAATAGGAAGTCCGTTACAAACAACATTACAAATGCATTTTACCTCACATCGAGTAGGTTTAAACTAGAAACGAATCGAGAAGGCATAACAAAAGATTAAAGCTATCCTCTTTTATTACAAAATACTATATATAATTCGGCTTATTTACATGGTGTCGTTTAATACGCTTTGATGCATTCGAAGATTAGGTGTAAGAAGTACAAACAAAATCAAGAGTAACAACAATTTACATCAACAACATCAAATAAAACACAAACAACCTCTACGCAATCAAATCATGCGATTGAGCGAAGCAAACGTTTTCAAGGTAACATTTTATCGCCTCGATTAGGGGCATGCTGGTAAACAAGAGTTTAATTAAAACGAGCAAACAAACAAAATACAATTCACCCCCCCCCCCCCCTCCACTCTAAAAAGAGAAGAGAAAGAAAACGATTTCATAAAGATTTAATCGAGTTTTTTTAAGGGTCGGGGCTTGTTATCAATTTTGTAATCCTCAACAACATTTAAACATTTTCTGTTTTTATTTGATTTGAGGATGTGAGTATTGCTTGATATTCATGACTAAAATCATATTTCCTTAAACACGCAATTTAGAAAGACAAATATCCTAAATATAAGCCGTATACAGATGTTTTCCCCGGTGCCATTTGAATTTGATATCAATTCAGTTTTCTTTCATTTGATTTTACAAAAGAAATGACGGATTACACACCGTTGTGTTAAAAAAGCGTTTCCCTTCAAACAAATAACAATATGCTAATAACCTAATTTTAAGGTGATATATGAATATTTATATAAGTTTAATCAAAATATATTTGAATCACGTATAATTTGGCTGTCGCAGTTTTACACAAAACAATAATGCGTTGAAGCGCATACAAGCTTCCAGGCGCGTACGCAGGGGGGGGGGGGGGGGGGGTTTGGGGGGTTAAACCCCCCCCTTTGGAAATTTTTTGTGTGTAAACCCCCCTAAAAAAAACCTAAAACCCCCCCCCCCCCCCCCCTTTTGGATTTTTTTTTTTTTTTTTTTTTTTTTTTTTTTTAATTATTAAAAAAAAAAAAAAAAAAAAAAAAATTATTCCCATGGCCGACCTAAAAAAGGTGACCTTACCCCCCCCCCCAACGGAGCAAAATGTCAAATTTCCAAATTTCGAGACCAAAAAAAAAAAAAAAAAGTGTCCTCTTACCCCCCCCCCCCCCCCCCCCCCCCCCCCCCCCCCCCCCGCTTATTCAGCGGTCGGCTGAGTCGTTGCGATTTTTTTGGGACCAAAAAAAAAAAAAAATGTGTCCTCTTACCCCCCCCCCCCCCCCCCCCCCCCCCCCCCCGCTTATTCAGCGGCTGGCTGAGTCGTTGCGAAATTTTCGGACCGATTTATAAATGTTAAAACCCCCCCCTTGAAAAAATCCTGCGTACGCGCCTGCAAGCTTCACGTTTTCAAGTTTTTGCAATACAATTCCTTTATGGTTATTGTCAAGAGAGGGCGTTCTCAAACCAGGTTCATTACTCCAAGCAAATGAAGAAGTTCTTTTCCCCATCAGTTCGGTGGAGTGAAAAGGCCCTCAACGGTTATCTTCAGCTGAGAGATAGCAATATTTTAGCCATTCCAACTCCCTGTTTTATTTTACTCTGAAATATACCCAAAAAGGAGAAGTGGCTTGCTCATTAAGCGTCATCGTAGGAAGTGGCATTATTATTATCATATTATCCTAATTATAATTCTTATCATATTATTATTATTATTATTAATATAGTAGTAGTTTTGGTGGTAGTATATCTAATAGAAGTAGTGGTTGTAGAAGTAGTAGTTAGAAGTAATAGTGGTAGTAGTAGTAGTGGTAGCAGCAGCAGCAGTAGTGGTAGTAGTAGCAGTAGTAGAAGTAGTAGTAGTAGTAGTAGTAGTAGTAGTAGTAGTAGTAGTAGTAGTAGTAGAAGTAGTAAAAGTTTTAGCCGGTAGAAGTTTTGGCCGGTAGAAGTTTTGGTGGTGGTAGTAGTAGCAGCAGAAGTAGTAGTAGTAACAGCAGCAGCAGCAGTAGTAGTAGTA